CCCCTTCATCTCCAATCTTTTTCAACCCTGCTCCTGAAAATGCTCCAATGATTCTTCGACGATCAACTCGACACATTCGTCCTTCGAATATATATGGTTATTAACATATTTTGCAAATTTAACTAATACTACTATTCCTACATTTTATTTTCAGGCTGAAAAATAGAATTGTTGGATAAAAGCTATGCAAGAGGAACTCCAGGCACTTCAAGATAATCACACTTGAGAAATTGTTTCATTTCCTACAGGAGTTAAATCCATTTGCTGTAAATGGGTTTATTATCTTAAGCTTCTATCTGATGTCTCCCTTGTCAATTATAAGACAAGATTAGTAGTTATGGGCAATCGGCAGGAATATGAGATTGATTATAAAGATACTTTTGCACCTATGGCTAAAATGATGACTGTCCGACTTATTCTATCTATTATTGTATCTAAAAGCTAGACCTTACGATAGATGGATGTTACGAATGCTTATTTGCATGGGGACCTCATAAAGGATATCTATATGACTCCTCTCCAGGCTTGTTTTCTACGCCCTCACAGGATGTTTGCTCAAACGATCTCTATAAAGTTTGAAACAAGCTCCACGGGCCTGGTTTGTAAAGTTTCGCAATACTCTTCTTAGCATATCTTTTATTCAAAGTCAGTATAATTTTTCATTATTTCTTTGCAAGACTGATAAGAGAATTACGCTGTTATTAGCCTATGTTGATTATATTGTCATCACAGAATCTGATACTCAATTGATGTCTCAATTACAGAAGTGTCTTCAGGGTTCTTTTCATATGATAAATTAGAGATCTTTAACTTACTTCTTAGGTCTTGATGTTCACTTTTCTCCCGTTGGTTTTGTCCTTACGAGCATAACTATACTAAGAAACTCATTGCTTTGGCTGGGCTCCAAGATGGTTGTTTTGTTGATACTCCTTTGGGTGTGAATGTTAAATATCAACAAAATGATGATGACTTTCTTTCTGGTCAATTAGCTAACCATCTTACGTCCTGATATTGCATTTGATGTGCAACAAGTTAGTCAATTTATGCAGACAACGACACATCTTCATTTAACTGCAGTTCAACATCTTGTTAGGTATTTGAAAGGTACTTTGCATCGTGGCTTGTTCTTTTCAGTGGAGTCTCCTATTCGCTTAACAACCTATAGTGATATTGATTGGGTTGGTTCTGATACACGTCGATGATTGAAGGAGTAGATTGTCAGCTTGGTGGTTTATTTTTTATGTCGAATTGTCTGTAGGGACTTTGTGAGAATATCTGCTATTTGATCTTCAATCATGATGTGTTGTAGAGTTATGATTTTGAATTTGAGATTATCCCTTTTGAAGTGATACTCCACCTCTACGTGCTTTGTGCGAGCGTGAAACACCCAGTTATGAGCTAGAGCAATGGACAATTTGTTGTCATTGTACATCATTGTTGGAGCTGTTATCTTCCTAGTAAGCTCATGGAGCAACCTTAGCCAGAGAATCTCGTTTGTTGTAGTTGAGAGTGCTTGGTATTTTGCATTCATGGAGGAACTGGCGATGGTTGGTTGTTTCTTAGATGACAATGAGATTCAATTAGGCCCAAGATAAATATAGAAATTTATAGTTGATTTCTTTCATCATTGTCGCTGGCTCAATCTGCATCTGCATATGCTTGTAATTGTAGTGACCCATATGTGATAGGTAAACTATAGTGGAGTGTACCTTTGAGTTATCTTAGAAGTTTTTTAAGCAGTTGACAATGCATCGTATTGGGCGTGTGCATATAATGACTTAGTAGATCAACTATAAATGTGATATCAGGTCTAGTGACAGAGATATTGGAGTGAGGCTATAGTGTTGAGGATCTGTAATGGATGTTGGCTTGATTGTTTGTTTGTGTGGGTGTGAAGGCAGTGGTTGAGCACATGTTTGGACTGTAGCATGGCTGCTCGTGTGAGAAGTTCAGTGTTATAAGTGGTTTAGCTTAGAAAATAGCTTGTGCTTTTTTTTTCTATTTGCAATCCAATGAGATGATTAATTTTTCGACGTTTTAAATTGAATTGCTTGCCTAGTGTGTTAATTAAAGAAGTGATTGCTGCATTTGAATATTTTGCTGTAAGAATGGCATCTACATAAACTAGCAAATAAGTTCTGATAGCGTTATGATGATATGTAAGCAAGGATGGGTCAGTATTTCGAGTTGATATCGTTGTGTGTATAAAAAAGTTGCAGAAAGAAAGTATCTTTGCTGAGGAGCCAGTTTTATATCATATATTGTTTTATGTAATTTGCACGCATAATGGCAAATGGGACGCAATGGAGAAAAAGGATTCATGTAGCCGACCCCAAGTAGTGGGATTAAAGCTTTGTTATTGTTGTTGTTGTGATGGTGATATTGACAATCTGCGAAGCATGGGGGCTGAGACATATATACATTGTCTTCAAGTTTTCCATATAGAAATGCATTTGAGATGTCAAGTTGTTGTATTTCCTATTTTTTTTGTTGTGGCTAGAATAATAAGCATACAAATCGTGAGAAATTTAACAACTAGACTAAATGTTTCTTTATAGTTTATTCCTTACTGTTGCTTAATTCCCTAGGATAAAAGTCCGGTTCATATCTTTCTATTGATCCATCAACATATAATGTTATTCTAAAAGTCCATTTACATCTCTATATGTCTTTGTGGAAGTTGTGGTATTGTGTAAAAGATTAAAGACCTTTGTAGGCTTGAGGTTTCCTGTTTTATAACGTTTGATAATACGGTGAAGTTTTTGTTGTGGGTGTGGTGGTGATACAGGAGGAAGGAGTATTTCAAATGATGTTCAGGTTTGGATATTTGTCTAAGGTATGTGATGCTGTGTTTTAGTGTTATTATGTGTGTGAGCATGTATCACTGGTTGGTGATCATTTACATTGGAAATGTTGGGTATGTAAGTAGCGAAATATTTGTTTTGCTATGTATGTGATGATGAGATGACAGTTGAGGTAGGTATTAACAGTGAGGGTGGTGGCTGTGAAGTATCTGTCTTGGCAGGCATGAGAGATGTGGAAGATCTATAAGGGAAGCTTTGCTCAATGAAAGCTACATGTCTAGATATAATAACTTGCTTTGTTGAATGTCAAAACAGTTATAACTTTTGTGCTAGTGACTATATCCCAGAAGAATACATAGAGGTGCTTTGGGACTGAATTTATTGTGGGTGTGGTGTTGGTGTCATGACCTGGCCCGTGGCTTGGAATTAACCAAGGCGGGTACATACGTTCAGACGGTGGAAATTACAATTTTCTATATTCATCTTCTAAAACTAAAATTTTATAAATGAAAGAGCCCCTAAAAAAGTAAATCAAAGCAGTACGGTTAAGTTTACCTCATTGTTGGTTGCCCGTGTCTGCTATAAACATTTCTTCTTCTATTGCTCATCTTTTAATTACTTAATTAAACTTGAAATATTAGTTTAAAATAGAAATAACCTAAAAAACTAATGAATACTCGTACTTTTAAATTATAGTATTATAATGAAAGCAGAATAATATGCATGTCAGTTAAAGTTTTTGTAAATCAATCTAACAGTATTTGAAGGTTTGTATTATCTAATATGATCATTCAATGTAATTCTAAACATTCACTGTCTTGTCAGCCATGTCATACACCAGAGTTAATTTTTGTGATGCAACCATTTAACTTGTTAAAGAGTGGACTCATGCACCTCCAGTTAGGTGTTGAACTCTAAGGCTGGGATCCATCCGATCGTGGGGCAAATGGGAATGAAAAAATTTGACGCTTGGATTTTGCAGCACGTTTGTGCCTTACTAGAGATGAACCAAATTAGTTTCTGTTGCAAACAAGCCCTTTTGTAGTTTACCTGTACCTTAGGAATTTATTTTCTCAGGTTTTCACTTTTTCTTTATCTTGCGTGTATACTTTTCTTTTTATCTCTGGCAATTATTGTTATTTGCCCTTGCTGCACTAAAATTTTCTCATTATAATATTTTTCCTTGGAAAGAAGTTGGTGGGATCTAACCCTTAGTTGTCAACACCTTTTGATTATTTACTGTATGGCTAATCTAAATTTCTTAAAATCGCTATCCTATAATATTTGTTGGGGAGTGTGGGGACTTTTTCTTCAATGGAAGCGCTGGACTCTTAAAATGCTTAATTTACTTGGCTTAGCCCAATGCTCCCATTCTATCAAAGTTTGTATTTTATGCCTCACGCAACCATAGTAGCTGAGCAGATAAGTTTGCTTTTTATGAAAGCACTTGTTCTACTCATTACAGTTTGTGAGGCTAGCATTACAGTTATCATTGTTCAAAAATTTGTTCTGAAGAGGCTTGAGCCAATCAACAAAAGCGTGGGCAAAAATAATTTTTTTTAGGATAATCTTAATTTAAAATTTGATTGTATGTATTATCATGCATTTAGCTTCTTGTTCATCCAAATACTTGAACATCATTTCTTAATTAGAAACTATTCCCGTACGTATCTCAATATATCATTTAACTAACTTAACTTACTTTTTCTTCCATTGACAAAAGTTGCAAATGATTTGACTAAATCCTTCGTTTCTTATGTGTATGATATTAACATTCATGCTAGCTTGATAAATTTTATGGTTATATATGCTAAACCATAATGAAAAATAAACAAAATGTATTTTGGATTTTCAGATAAATGTTTTCAAAATGATTAACTGACTGAGTAACTCTAATGACATCTTGCTACTTCTGTAATATTTCATGAAACATCAACATGCTTGGCAAATTTATTTTCAATTATACAACGTTAAAGGATTGTATGACAGGAGGTTACCAAGCATATCACCCTGCTTCATTTTCTATCCTGCTTCTTCAATTCAGTTAGCCTTGTGTGGTCTATTTGCTGAAGAGACTATTCTTTTTAATTTACTTGACGTGATTCTATACAATAATGTATTAAAGCTAACAATGTGAATGTTCATTTACTGCACATATCTCCAGTTTATATTGTCATTTTACATTGTAATTTTCAGTAATCCACCAAAGAAGACATGCTTATCACGGTCTTTAGTTGCTTTGCTTCACTATGGCGGTGTGCCAAAGGAATTCTTTTTGGAACTTATGAGGCGTGCAATTGAAGATCTTCGAAATGCTAGATATAACAAAAGATCTGCGTTGAGAGGTACACTGTGCTACTTATGATGTGCACACAATTGCTATCTTCTTACTGATTATCTTACTTAAGTCTCTAAGTATGGAATGTATTAATTATTCTAATGCACAAGCCTTTACAATCTTTTCTGCAGTATTCATTAATTTTTTCTATGGAAACTGGATTAATAACCTTCATCATATGACAGTATGCTCTAGTCAGGAAGCTTATTTTCTCAAAGCTAATTTGTTTAATATGTTGGCCATTTTACAGTTGCTCTGAGATATGGTGAAATGGATGAATTTCTTGTTTCAAGAATGATACTTTGTGGAGTACCACTTGATGAGCCTTACTTATTTTCTCGATTACTAGTTTTAATGAAAGAGGAGAGGAAGGGCCTCATTCAAGGAAAACTTCCTGTGGATGATTGCTACTATTTGATGGGGACGGCAGATCCAACTGGAACACTCGAGCATGATGAAGTTTGCGTCATACTGTATGCTTTATCAAATGGCTGTAGTTTTCTATTTAGAAACTTTCAGGAATATTTTTTCCCCTGGTTTCATTGCAAGTTTTATTAGTCATTCATACAGTTTAAGGGATTCAATTGTAACCATTATATACTTTTTCTTAATCAAATTTAGTGACAATGGTCAAGTTTCTGGAGATGTTCTTGTTTACAAGCATCCTGGTCTACATTTTGGCGACATTCATAGGCTAACTGCAACGTATATTAAGGACTTGGAGGACGTTGTTGGGAATTCTAAGTATGCTATTTTCTTTCCTGTTAAAGGTCCTCGATCTTTGACAGATGAAATTGCCAATAGTGATCTTGACGGTGATATGTACTGGGTCTGTAGGAATCCACAGGTTTGCCTTTTTTCCGGTTTTGTAAATATGCCTTATTTTTTGTATGTACCATAATTTCTTTGCCTTTATTTTAGCTTGGAAGTAATGGTGGGCTAAAATCACGGAAACAATCTCTCTAATAATCATTGATAATTCTAAACTTCACATTTGCTAGATCCTCGTGGTTAGTTTGATTGTCTAAAATTTTGTTAAATATCAATTGCCTTGTGCATTCATAAAGAAATTATCTACATTAATTTTTAAATCTTTGCTTGTTTCCCTGTTGTTTTCTAGTCTTTTATTTAACTTAGTCTTTGGAAGAATAGATCAGCTAGGCAACTTAAGGAATCTCCCATTATATGTTGTATTACTGTTCACTTCTACAATGTTAAGCTTTTATCTTTTTATATGTTTTTTTTGTGGTTTATAGCTGTTGGCTTCTTTTTCTCCTGGGAAGCCATGGGTCAGACCAGCCCCAGCTCCGAAGATATCACAACCCAAGCCTACAGATTTTTCGGATATGGAGCTGGAAAGAGAACTCTTCCAGCAATTTTTAAAGAATAGATTCATGCCAAGGTTATTATTACAGTTCTCCTCTAGTCTGGTGATGCTTTCATTCTACTCAGATTTCTTTAAATATTTGTATTCTACATATGTTTGATTTTTTTGTTGGCCTTAAAATTTCTCTGATGGGCTTTTTTCATTAATTATCTTTTTTAAAAATCTCTATATATTACTATTGGCCCTTACGCAATTTATCAACCTCTTTTTACACTACAATCACTTAAACTCCATTACCAACGTTAGCTTCTTTTTTGGGCTAAATAAAAATGATTATGAAATATGGAGAGAGAAGTGATTTGAATTTTATGATGTATTTAATTCAGAATCTATCACCTTTATTTATATAACAAGCTTTTGGATTAGTTTTAGTAACATAGACTCATGAAATCTGATGCTCACTTGACAAAAGGCCCTAAATTGCCCCTGGATTGCCACATTGGTAATTTGCATAGGGCTTTGTAATTTTTCTATAATTTTAGCTTTGTAAATAAGGAAGTTATTTCCCCAGGCTTTCACTTTAGAGATTACAATGATGTTGCTTCATGGTTTTAAATTTTGTTATTATTATATATTGGTTTTACTATAAACACGATTAGCAAAAGATAGTAAAATTATCCCCAACAGAGTCATCAAAAGTATGCAAGCTTAGAGAATTCATAATCTTACTTTTCTATGAGGGCTTTTGTTTATTTTAGTCAAACTTTTAGAAGGCGTGTTTTTTTACAGACTAGACACAACTTAGAAAATTTGCCCCCATTTTAAATGGACTTTATCTTATTATTTTTATTTTTTTATTTAGAGTTAGCCTCTAATTGTTATCCCTCTCAGTGTGATACATAATTTTCAATAAAAACTAATCGTTAGGTGCTAACTATTTAGCTTATAGTAGTATCAATTTTAATTTTATATTAAAGAAATTTACCACTGCCACTTTACATCATATGGTAGGGGAAAGGTGATCCACTTGATTAATATGACATAGTGTTGTCATCATGGGTTGTCATAATTCGTGGTCTGCATAGTAGAAGTTGTTAACCAAATTTGATTGAAAAATCCTTATCCTCACTATGGGTTGCATCATTTAACAAAACCTTAAAGAGCTTGGATTTTCTTTTTAAGAGGGTAATTTAAGTTAACTTTAGCTATCAACAAGAATGAGGGCTTCGGTCTTGATGCTAAATTCATAGTCTAGTGTTGTTACGTTTAGGCGAATCTCTCAATCAAATAGCTCGAGTCTTATATCATGATCTAGCCTGTGAGCTTGGAAAAATCATGACAGGAATGGATGGGCAGACGTTGATAACATCTCATTCTATCTATTTCAGTAAACCATAATAGTAATAATCTAAATAGTAAGAACCATTAAACCATAATAGATTTACATCTTTCAAACAACATAATAGAATATCCAAAGTGCAACAGTACCTGTAAACTCAAATTTGTCCGTAGATCAAACCCAATGAGTAGAGTGCAGGAAAGAGAGTGAATTAAGAATGCAAGAAATAAGTGTTATCCCCCCCCCCCCCCAAAAAAAAAGAAAGATCCCCTTTACATTTTACCATTCTCATATTTATAACAAATATGAGTTACATTATAAAATGTTGATAATATCCGTAAAATTCTCATTTAATGGTTGTTCGTTATAACCATCATGATTACCTTTACTGTAGCCAAAACCTTTCCCATCAGTTTGTTATTTGGCCCGCTCCTACATTTGCGAGTCGTCTGTCTTCCTGTTTGTTTGAACTTGGTTCGGTCAGTTGGATAACTCACTTTATGCTGACTGGTGGTTTTTGCATTTATCAAGGTTGATTCTTCGACACATGTCCTATTCAGGGCTATTGAATTTGGTTCAACACACTTTGATCATACATTTTTTAGATTCTTGATTTTCTCGTGCATTAGTAGGTTGCAAGCCGCAATAATGATGTGAAACAAAAGTTTTTTTATGAAACAAATTCATTTATTAATAATTTCTTTATTTTTGTGCTTGTGATTGCTTATAAATAGAAAGTTTTATTTCCAATTTTGTTGGTCTCGGATTTTGACTTTGTGTTTCTTTGCCTTCACATCTCAGCTTACTTTTTCAGGAAGAAGTGCCTTTGTGATGGATAAGCTTGCAAAACCCCAATCTGCTATCTCGAACGAAATCTTGCTACATGGATTGTTTGCCGAGGAGAAGAGTAAGATGAGCCTTAAGAGCGATCAAAAGAGAAAACTTGTAGGAAAAAGGATGAAGGGTTATCTCTTGGGTCAGATCGACTATTCTGGAGTGGTCCCTTGAAGCGCTCATTTAGTGGTCGTGGATACTCAACCTACTGTTGTGATCGTGCAGTTGCTTGATAGGTCACTTTCTGCACCTCCTGCTATTGCCCCCTATTTGGTTGTGGATTGGACCTCATTGGCACCCATTTGTTCCTTCCAGCTAAGATGGATTATTAGCTCGTGTTGTTCGATTTTTTTAGAGTTATGGGGTTGTTTTTTTTTTTTTTTTGACTCGAATGGTTTTTTAATGCATGTTGATGTTTTTTTTAGTTGACTTAGGGATGACAGATGAAATGAGCCTGTCGAGCTCAAGCGGAGCTCTAGTGGCACCAACCAAGGCTGGGAGGGTGAGTGGCTGAGGTAGTCGGCCCGCCAAAGAAGGTGGTAAAGTTGATCGTCCAAGAGATCTCGCGCTTCCTACCGAGATTCAAAAGGGAGAACTATGAGCGACCGAGGTGGATCAAGTGGAATTGGCTTGTCGCTTGGCTAAGATTGAGAACTCATTTGGCTGTGATGCTAACTTCTGGGGATGTTAGTGTCGTGTCGGCCCACCTGACACAACTTAAAGAGTATTTTCCAGTGATGAAATGAATGATGTCTATTATCCAACAATTGCTTACGTTAATCACAAAATACAATCAAGAAAATACACAATCAAATCTCAATAAACTAAATTTAATACACTCAAAGTGTTTGGTTTAATGTCGTCAGCCCGATATATCTACTTCTTACCCGGGTTGACCCAACCTTAGGCTTTCATCAGATATAGGTCTATTTCCATCAAAGTAAGGTTTCAGCCTATGTTCAATTACTTTGAAAATTTTATCATTTTTTTGATCCTTGATATCCACAGCATCGTAAGGATAGAATTTCACCACAATGAATGACCTCGTCCACCTGGACTTCCGTTTATAACATGTCCTAAGAAATACTTGAATTTTTGTTAGATCTACTTTCATACTATTTTTTGAAATTTTTTGTTTAAATACAATTCCTTCTACAGCCATAAATTGACATTTCTCCCAATGGAGAACTAAATTTATTTCTTCACAACTTTTTAGTATTTTTTTCTAAATGATTTAAACATGACTTAAACGAAGTTCGTAAAATTGAAAAATCGTTCATAAAAATTTAAATTTCTTTTTCAATTAAGTAGAAAATGGACATCTTGCACATTTGAAAAGTTGTTGGTGCATTGCATAATCCAAAGACCTTCTTCTAAAAGCAACTCCCGTAAAAACTCGTGAATATGGTTTTTTCTTGATCATCAAGAGCTATAAGAATTTGGTGATAATGAGTACATCCATCCAAATAGCAGAATTATTTGTCCCGCTAGCTTGTCTAAAATTTGATCCAGAAAAGGTTAAGGAAAGTGATCTTTTCTTGTGGTGAAATCTACTTTTAATGCTCTATCAAGTCTATCAGACCAATCAACCATAATAGTATTTACAGTTTTTTCCAAAATTATTTTAATTTCACGGTTGGATAATTTTGTTAGATTGTTGGTCTGAAGATGATAAACAGTGACAATTTTATGTTTAATACTGTATTTTCTAACTAATGTTTCAATCTTCTTATTCATAAAATGACTTCCCCCATCAGTAATTATTACTCTCAGCATCCCAAATCTGCTAAATATATTTTTTCTTAAAAATTTTGCAACGCTTTGAGCATCACAGAAAGGTAAAGCTACCGCCTCTATCCACCTTGAAACATTGTCCACTGCAATTAAAATATATATATTTTTGTAAGAATATATAAATGGTCTCATAAAGATGTCGCTTTTATTCGTAAAATAATTTCCCTCATCAGTAATTATTAGTCTCAGCATCACAAATCTGTTAAAATTATTTATTTTTAAAAATTTTATACGCTTTGAGCATCACCACGAGGTAAAGCTATCGCTTATATCCACCTTGAAACATAGTCTATTGCAATTAAAATTTATATATTTCCATAAGAATGTATAAATTGTCCTATAAAGTTCAAATGCCAAACATAAAAAATCTCTACCTCTAATGTAAAATTAAGTGGTATTTAATTTCTTTTAGAAATATTGTTTACCCGCTGACATTGGTCATATGTTCTTACATAAGTATTAACATTTCTAAATATTGTAAACAAATAAAATATACATTGTAAAATTTTATATGCAGTTATATCAAATCCAAAAATGTCCTTCAATATCAAAATCATGTCATTTCTGAATAATTTGTTGAGTTTCTTCCATAAGTACACATTTTCGAATAATTTGGTCTTAATTTTGTTTATATAAATATGGATCATCCCAAAAGTAAGATCTTACATCATGCATAAATTTTGTTCTTGTTGATATTTCAAACCATAGGGTAAAATATTACTAACTATGAAATTAATTATGTTGGCATCCACGGAACACGCCACTCATTTACAGTATATAATTTTTCATCAGGAAAATATTTATTGATTTCATTTTCAAGATTAACTGAATTTTCATGTTCGAGCGTAGATAGTTGATTAGTAATCTGATTGTCAGTTTCATTCTTATCTACTACTGCAAAATCAAATTCTTGCATCAGAATGACTCATCAGATTAACCTTAGTTTTTCAAACAGAGTGATATGTATGCACAATACATTTAGTTCTTATAAGATATGACCTAAATTTTTCAAAGACATATACTATTGCTAATAACTTTTTTTTCGTAGTGGTATAATTAATTTGGGTTTCATTAATACTTATACTAAAATAGTATATTACTTTGAAAA